CCCCAAAGTTCTTGCCTGTATCACTTCATCCTGAGCTGCAGTGAAGAGTCAACGAGGAGAAAAACTGAAGCTGTTTCTCGGTCCACGGGTCAAATATTGATGCAGGATTTCGGTGTGTGTGTGTGTGTGTGTCAGGGGGGTCGGGGGACCAGAGGTTGGGAACCTCTGGCTTAAACGATGGCTACAGACGCTACGACTATAATCTATACATTAGAGAAACTCCAAGAAGTCGTAGAAGTTCTAGAGACTTTTTTTTCTCGGAGTCAAAGGTCCATTCATTAAAGCTGGTCGAGCCTCAGGCCAAAACACTCCTCAATAAAAAAACACAGAATCCAGGACAGATATATCAGCTTCTCTACAAAGAAGCAAAAGCAAACACTTCAGGAATTCCATCTCGTCTCTTACTGCTGACAAAGTATTGAACACTGAACCACTTCAAAAGCAAAAGTAAAAGAAAAGTGCCTTTGTTCTCGACATCCTATCAGTGGCCCGTTGTCATGGAGACCACAGCTCAGGTACACTCGCTGAACAAAAACGAAAACATCACATCGAAGGACACGGAAACAGCCTCATTTCATGTACAGTATTCATCTTGTGGTTGCCAAACAGGTGGCTCGCAGGACTGGATGTGGACTCTGGACCTCCACTGATCTACTGTATTCACTGTCAGCAACAACAAATCAATCATTAGTCTTTGATCACTCCATCCTTTATAGGATCTGGAGTCAATCCCAGCGGTCACCAGGTGAGGGCAGGATTCCGCCCCGGACAGTTTGACAGTCCGTCACATAAAGGCACACACACATTCACAGCTCTGGTCATGGTGACTGTAATTATTAACCCCAGTTTTTAGACCAACCAGAGCGTGAGGCCCAGAGACACTACATTCAGACCCAGCCCCTGCTGGCTGGATCATGGTACTGCAGCTGAAATCGAGGCAACTCTCTGCAGAAATGAAGAGGATTTCTTCAGATGTGTTGAAAATCAATCTGATGTGGACTGAATGATACAGACTCTGCTCTGGTGTTGCATCAGGTCCTGGACCTGGTCCAGACTCGTCTCTCCTGCTGGCCTATATATATAGGCCAGAGGAAAAACGTCTGCTAACAGAATGAAGGTTTTTTTTTATTATTTTATTTATGACGTAAGTTCAATTTATTTTCAAAATGTTGTTTTTTGTATTTCTGGAGACACGTAAGTTCAATTTATTTTCCAAATGTTGTTTTTTGTATTTCTGGAGACTAAAAACAGAACATGGTCCAGTTACAGAATATTATCATTTAGCTGAGCTTTGTCTGATTTTAACTTCATTTTAAAGCCAGGAAGGAAGAAAGGAAGGAAGGAAGGAAGGAA